TCTAAAAATGCTGGTTTTATTAAAAGATTTTGGGGCCCTCTATAGGTCGAATTAAATACATCTCAGTCTGTGACTCACAATATGCTGTATTAATAATGTCTTTGGTTATAAAACTTTTAGATAAGAAAGTTATAGATCTGTACCTGTTATTACTAAATAATTCTGAGGAATTATGAGTTACCCAAGATGGAGGAGAATGTGAACATGATCTGTAATGAGTAAATGCACATAAATGAACACATTTGAAACTCAAGAAAGGCAATACATTATAATTTATATGCTTTCATTTGTTCATCTTCAGTTAGGAAGGCACTTCCATATGATCCCAAATTAAATTTTACTGTCATTTTCATACATCTCGTATAACATTTCTAATGAAACTATTTCAGTATCTCCTCAGGATCTGCAAGTACAGTTTCTGAATGCGGTCATCTTTTCTTCTTTTGTGAATTCTGTAGCACTTTCACACCAATCCTCAGGAACATCAATAAACTGCAAGAGAGAGAAAGAACAAAACATAATTCAACAACAAAAATAATGCATCTGTCCATGTTAATGTCATAGATAACATATAAATATTTAATTTTTTGCCTGTGTGTGAACATTATGGACATCTGGGAAGTCTTATGGAACAAAAAAATTGGAATAAATAAAAATTCATATATAATATATAAATAACCAATTGCTAAAATAAAATATTCCTGCCTTGCCCCTGCCATGAGTCCAGCTGGCACAATCTTCCAAGAACTCAAAAATCTCACTCCCATTAGAGCGGTCAGTGATCCAGAGGTGCCTACAAATATAAAAACAAATCCCATTAATGTCATATATGAGCTTCATTCATAAAAAAATAAAAATAAAATTATATATATATAAACTTTTAGAAACAGAAACTTACAGTGACTTACCCAGTGAAACCCAGATATCTTTGTCATTCTTTGACATCTGATAAGCACCAACAAATGCTGCAATGCCAAACATCAGCCCAGCAACCAGAGAGATAACACTACCTGCAGCCGGAAGCGGGAACATGAGACATCTG